ACACACACACACATATGTACATATAAATGTACATATAATTTCTTTTTGCTGTATATATAGATATATACACATACATATATATGTTGGAAAGTGGGTTTTGTTTTTTCAACAGAGTTTAATTCATTATAGTAGGATATAACCCAATTTATGTGATTATTCTCCTACTTGGGTATTCTACTTTTTCATTGTTATAAATATTATTTTTGTGAACAGTCTTGAACACTGATCTTTGTTCACATCCCTGACGGTTCCCTTAGCAAAATCCTAGGGGTAGGAATACAGTATGAAAGGGATTGACTGTTTTTTAAGTTTCTTGATTCCTGTTCCCAGGCCTTCATCAGAGAGGTTATATCAGCAGCACATGTATTCAGCAACATGAAATCACACTTGTCTCTTCACCTTCATCACCCTGGGGCCTAGTGTTGACTCTGTCAGTCTTGCCAAGGGTGTTAGTCTAGGGCCAGAGGTTTAACCATGGATGCCAAATGGTGGCAGGCTTAGGCAGGGACACAGGGGCCAAAAACCTGAAAAGACAATAATCCTACCCTAATCTATGAATGGGAAAAGCAGTCGTGTCCTTTTGAGTGGTTGTGAGGGCTTATCATGAGGGAGACCCCTTGAAAAGCACTGACCTGGACCTGTGCATACTTTCTCTATTGTAGCTGGAGGCTCCTATTTCATGATCTCCCGCTCACTGGGTCCAGAATTTGGAGGTGCTGTGGGCTTGTGCTTCTATCTGGGAACAACATTTGCGGCAGCTATGTATATCCTGGGGGCCATTGAGATCTTGCTGGTGAGTCAAGCTAAACCCTCTGTAATCCATCTTCTTGTTCCAGACCTACATTGCTCCACTAGCTGCCATTTTTTACCCATCAGGCTCTCATGACACGCATATCTAAACACTTCCCTTGGATTCCACACAGAAGGCCCAGGCTGTTTGTGCTCCCCTGCTATCCCTGGCCAGGGCCTAGGGTCATACCACGGGAGGCATCAAAAGAGAAGGATCTCTGCTCAGGCCTGTTTCCCCCTTTGCTTTCATGCTAGTCTGGGCTAGGCAAGAAATTGGCCTGGCTGTCTTCACTTTAGCCTGGATATGTCACCTATCTGGGTACTGTTTCAGCCATGGCAAGCAACCAACTCTTGCATTTAGTTGAATGACAGATCTTGGGTGGTGACATAGAGACTAACTACTTCCTGAGCTTGGATGGCTCTGGCCAGTTCAATCTCCTAGAGCTCTATGCCAGCGCCCTTCAGATTGAGCTTCTCCTTATCCCTAAGTCAGAGTGAGCTACCACCGGATGCCTTCTGGAGATTGCAGAAAGCAATCTAGGGTGCTGTGCCCAGTTCAGCTTCCCACTCTCCACTGAGGAAGCAGAAATGTACAGGGTATGTGGGCAGCAGAGTGGCAGGTACTTTCTCTGGGGATGAAAGAGTAGAAGATATTTAGAGAGACTGACTTTACTATTCCCACCTTCCAGTCCTCTGCTCATAGTGTGAACCTTGTGCCTAGCTCATCTGTTTTTTGTTTTCCATTTCTCATATTTCTTCTACATTTATAATTTGGAATTCTTCTGTAAGGAAATGTGTCCCTTTTCCCCAGTTTGTTTGTTTATTCAACCATGTAATTATATGGACTTTTGGATATTTATTTTGTTCCCTGGGTTTTGGGTTATAATTCAATACTACCACTATTTATTTTGTTGTTCAAACATTCTACTTAGGCTCTTCCACTTCAGGTTGGCGTCTATGTCTGGATCCTTTCCTTTCTAAAAAATAATGACTTTATTGAGATGTAATTCACATAACATTCAATGCACTACCCAGTAAAAGTATACAGTGCATTGGTCTTTAATATATTCACAGGGATGCAACCATCACCACAATTTTAGAACATTTTATCACCCCAAAAGAAACCCCATCGGTCATCATTCTCCATTCTCCCCCAACTGTCATCTCTCGGCAACCACTAATTTGTTTTCTACCTCTAGATTTGCCTTTTCTGGACATTTTGTATAATTGGAATTATATAATACGTGGTCCTTTGAGACTGGCTTCTTTTAGATATACTTTTAAAAGAAAACCAAAATGACAGGTTTCACACTCCAAATAGGAAGGTTGAACCCTCTGTAATCCATCTTCTTGTTTCAGACCTACATTGCTCCACCAGCCGCCATTTTTTACCCATCAGGCTCTCATGACACGTCAAGCGCCACCTTGAATAATATGCGAGTATATGGGACCATTTTTCTGACTTTCATGACACTGGTGGTATTTGTTGGTGTCAAGTATGTGAACAAATTTGCCTCACTCTTCCTGGCCTGTGTGATTATCTCCATCTTCTCTATCTATGCTGGGGGCATCAAGTCCATTTTTGACCCTCCCGTGTTTCCGTAAGTAACTCAGGCTTTTGTCCAGACATTACCTTGTCATCCCTTCCAAGTAGACTGCCTTTGATGCCCTGGGTCCCCAAGACTGTAGGGTGGGAATGGACTGGGTCCTCTAGCTCAGCAGGTGGTGATGCTTATCCCTGCAGGGTGTGCATGCTGGGTAACAGGACCCTGTCCCGGGACCAGTTTGATGTTTGCGCCAAGACGGTTGTGTTGGACAATGAGACAGTGGCCACCCGGCTGTGGAGTTTCTTCTGCCACAGCCCCAACCTTACTACTGACTCCTGTGACCCCTACTTCCTGCTCAACAATGTGACGGAGATCCCTGGCATTCCCGGGGCAGCTGCTGGTGTGCTCCAGGGTGGGTCCTCCCTCCCATGTTCCTGTCCCTGAGCCCACAGGCTGAGCAGGAGAGCAGAGCACAGAGCTGTCCTTGTGTGGCCAGCTCGGGAATGGGGGGAGCAGGTCTGGCTGCCTTCCCAGCTCAGCAGTGTCCTCTCAGCCTGGCTCTTGGCAGCTGAGTTTCTGGTGAATGGAGATTGGCCAGCATCCCAGCCCTGCAGAAGCCCCTGGAAAGTTCTGGCAGCCCCTCTTCCTCTGGCCATCAGCCCCTAATGCCACCTGGGGATGTTCTCACAGGGGCCATAAAGGGCTTTTGTCGGGAATGCAGGCGGTGGTGGGGCTCTGGTTGATGATGGTTTCAGCCACCTTTGTCTATCAGACTTGTAGCTTGGATAGCTTCCTCCCTGCAACCAGAGAAGCCCTGTGGTAGACACTGTAGCAATCAGGCTGAAGCTGTACCCAAAGTCCCCAGCTTCTGGCTGATCTGCCCCAGACTACCCTGGGGAGGTCCATGGGGCTGTGTTGGTGATGCTGCTGCCTCCGCAGAGAACTTGTGGAGTGCCTACCTGGAGAAGGGAGAGTTCGTGGAGAAGCGAGGTCTGCCCTCCACAGACGCCCTTGGCCTGAAGGAGAGCCTGCCCCTGTATGTGGTAGCTGATATCGCCACATCCTTCACTGTGCTGGTTGGCATCTTCTTCCCCTCTGTAACAGGTGAGCCCCTTTTGCCCACCCACCCATCCCTGCCACCAGTCCAATCTGGAGAGCCCCTGAGGGAGTCTCATCTGTTTTTGGAGGCATCATGGCTGGCTCAAACCGCTCCGGGGACCTCCGTGATGCCCAGAAATCCATCCCGGTGGGAACCATTCTGGCCATCGTTACAACCTCGCTTGTGTGTATCCTTTCCTAGGCTTGAAACAGGGGAGAGGGGAACAGGAGGCACTTGCCTACATGTACATCACCAGTTGGCATGCATAGACACACTATACACGCATCCCTCACCCCCTCATATACAGGCACACACCGGGGGGACACATGCACATAAACATAGTACCCTCAGCTATCTGCAGGCTGGGACTGGGGCAAGAGCCGCTAGGGTCCTGTGTGGGGATGAGTCTGGTTACAGTGCAGTGGAGGCCTAGCTTCCTTGACTCTGTGTAGACTTCAGCAGTGTGGTTCTCTTCGGCGCCTGCATTGAGGGTGTAGTGCTCCGAGACAAGTGAGTGAGCTGTGCCCCTCCCTGTAGCAATAGCTCAGCCTTTGCCTCCCTTCATGCTAAACCCTGCACATGGTCACAGACATTTCCTTAGGCTGCTGGCTGCCAAGGGTAGTCTGTGCCATCAGGTGGATCAGGCCCCTCCAAGAGTTGGTTTTGAGAGGATGGCAACATCAGGGTCAGGGCTGAGATGAGGGTCAAGGGTAGGGGCTGGCATTCGGCCTTCTCCACTGAAGGCAGAGCTCTGTCCTGCTTAGCTCCTGCTATCCCTCACTCTGGGTGGCCCCACCCAGGACTTGGGGGACTCCTTGCCTAGAACATGGTCTGAGCCTGGCCCCTGCAGGTATGGCGACGGTGTCAGCAGGAACCTGGTGGTGGGCACATTGGCCTGGCCTTCGCCCTGGGTCATCGTTGTTGGCTCTTTCTTCTCAACATGTGGTGCTGGCCTCCAGAGTCTTACTGGGGCACCTCGTCTATTGCAGGCCATTGCCAAGGACAACATCATCCCCTTCCTCCGGGTGAGCCCTTCTATATCACCCTCACATGGTTCTGGACATAGCACTGGCTAGGGAAAGAGGGAATTTGGATGCAGCGTAGTCTGCCCACAGGGGCACCAAGGCCAGGTGGCCATCCATAAGGAGCTGCTGAGAGCTGCCCTGGCCCTGTGTATTGTTGGCAGAGCTTCTAAGACCCAGAATCCTCATGAACTATGGCTCATCCAAAGAAAGGAGGCCTGAAGTGGTGGAGTCAGGAGAAAGTTGTGACCTCCCATGGGGATGGCCTGAGCCCCAGAGAAAGGGCCTGGGGATAATGGAGGCCAGGCTGTGGCTTGGGGTCCCAAGTGTAGGAGAGGGTGGCAGGAACAACTCCTTTTCTGGTGCCTACAGGTGTTCGGCCATGGGAAAGCAAATGGTGAACCAACGTGGGCACTCCTCCTGACTGCACTCATTGCTGAGCTGGGCATCCTCATTGCCTCCCTCGACATGGTGGCCCCCATTCTATCCATGTGAGCTGGGGGCAGGGCAGAATAATGGTCTTGGTAAAAGCTTGCTGAATCCCAGTAACTTTTAACAGGGGACCCCAGCACCTCTCCATGATCCTTTCTGGTGTTGAGGGTGCAACTATGTGCCAGGCTGTGTGGGGAGATGTTGCTTGGCAGGTCTCAACCTACCCCTGCATTCTGGAGTTAGCATGGCACCTGCAGAGGAGCTATAAAGAGACCAAGAGGCCCCTCGCACTACTGTGGGGACCTTCCAGAACAGGAATCCAACAGATTCTCCCACTGCTGAACAGAGAAGCACCTGGTCCTTTGAGGCTTAATGAAGCCATCACTTCACCATTCATCATTTTCAAAGTTGTTTGCTCTGGATTTTTTTGCAGTACTAGAGATTAAACCCTAGGCTGCTCTACTGCTGAGCCACATCTCCAGTGAGAGATATATATATATATATATACATTTTATTTTGAGACAGGGTTTCACAAAGTAGCTTAGGCTGGTCTCAAACTTATGATCCTCCTTGCCTAAGCCTCCTGAGTAGCTGGGATTACAGGCATGCACCCCTGTACCTAGCTCAAAGTCGTTTGCTTTTAATATTCTGGAAGCACCTGGACAAATGCTTTTCGTTACAATTTTAGTCCTAACCCAAATGAATCTGCATTTGTGCCAGTGCTGTGCAGTTGGTGATCTGCACGTGGAGATTTCCAGTAATTCTTGAGGCAGAGTTTCTTCAATTGCTGTTTTCACCTCTGCCCATGTTGGAGTCATCACACACTATGCTCCATGGCTGATGGGCTTTGTTCTTCTGAAGAGCCTGACCTCCTTCACTCCTTAGCCTGTAGACTTGACAGGGCTTCCTTCCCTGCAAATAGTCTCCACCCTGGCTCCAGCTAGGCCTGCTGTACCTGGGCTGTCCTCTGCCTCCAACTCAACCCATCCCTCACACCTCAAACAGTTCTAGTTACAAAGCCAAAGGACACTGCTCAGCCTTTATTATGTTGTACTTACTGGCAGATCCTGATGGGACTTACCTCTCATGGAATCCCCTACCCCTAGCACCCCACTCAGGAGTCTTCCTGCCTCCAATCTACCATTACTCTCTATCAGCTGAGGGTAGAAGTTGTGCCCCTTCCTCTTAGCCATCTTTTTGGCTGCCTGCCTGGGAGGGCTCATACAGCCAGCCTTGCCCATGTTCCAGATTCCTACTCCCACAGCAGCTTCTCTCAGGTGTCTAATCCAGTGCATTCATATGGTCTTTGCCATCTACTCTTGGATCTGTTCGTCTTTCCCACGTGTGACAGCTTCTTATCCACTGGTCATCCAGGCCAGTATCAGCCAGCCAATCTTCAGACACTGAGCATTCCTCAGCATTCCTTGACACCATCCTATCCCAGCTCTCTACTTGATATCCTGGGGCCCTCATCCCCTTCCAGCCTTCTGCCAGGGATCATTGGTCCATTCTCTTCTGACATGGGTAAGGCTGGCTGTAAGGATATGGGCTTCCTCATCCTCTTCATGGTTTTAACAGGTACAGCTTCTCAAACAAACAAACAAAATGCCTTTTTTTGTTATTTAGGAAATCTATAACATGGACATGGGCAAGGCCAGCTGCATGTGTCTCCTGACACAACGTGGCTCCAAGGACACCTTCTCCGCATAGTCCCATCTTCCTGAGGCTGCAGGAGTGGGTGCTGTGGGGGTGGGAGGACCTGACTGTGTCCATGCAGTGAAGGGAAAGACATGGCCTAGAAGGTCCAGGCTCAGCCTGACATGAGGTACCCGGAGATACTAAGGAGGTTACTCTGTACCGACCAACTCCCTGTGCTACAGGTTCTTTCTGATGTGTTACCTATTTGTGAACCTGGCCTGTGCTGTACAGACACTCCTGAGGACCCCCAACTGGCGGCCCCGGTTCAAATACTATCATTGGTAAGCTAGACCCTTAAATCAAGTTCCCTGACATAGGAGGTATCAGGGAGTCTAAGAATGCCATTCTGAATGAAGTTTTGAGTTTGCTGGGCAGTGGTTACTCATAAAACACTATGGGGAAGGAGGTAGGGGCCTTAGCCTAGTTTTTATACCCAGATTGTGACTTGGGACTTCACAGGGCTACCAGGGCATGGGATGGGTTATGGCCTAGGACCCTACCAGTCTTGCCCTGATTCTACCTCTCTCCTCACTCTGTCTTAGGGCGCTGTCCTTCCTGGGCATGAGCCTCTGCCTGGCCCTTATGTTTGTTTCCTCCTGGTACTATGCTCTGGTTGCCATGCTCATCGCAGGCATGATCTACAAGTACATCGAGTACCAAGGGTGAGTGAAGGGACTGTCGACAACCTATATGGTTGAGGGTTCCTGGCTAAGAAGTGGGATGGTCTGAATGGTGAGTTGTTGAGGGAGCAGGGCCACTTTTGGTATCTACCATGAGTGATAGGACTGGAAGGCTCTGACTCAGGGCCTAACCTCTTTCCATTCCTGCATTCATATAGACAGAAATCCCTGGTGAAGGGCTGGGATGTAGCTGGGAGGTATAGCTCAGTGGTAGAGTACTTGCTTAGCAAGTGTGATGTCCTAGGTTCAATTCCCAGTACCAGCACTACCAAAAAATAAAATTCCCTGGGTGGCACCTGGAGCTCACAAGCTTGTGGCATCTGCAGGGCTGAGAAGGAATGGGGTGATGGGATCAGAGGCCTATCCCTGAGTGCTGCCCGCTATGCGCTGTTGAGGCTGGAAGAGGGGCCTCCTCATACCAAGAACTGGCGGTAAGTTCACACCCAGTCTAGCACGGGCCATCTCAAGGTTCTTAGGGAGTGCTGGGAGGGTAGGAGCCTCCAAAAGTGCTGGATCCCCATCCCTAGTCCAGTTTCCCCTTCCTTGGGTTGCTAAGGATGCCCTCCTGCTTATTGTACCCTTGGATCTACACTATCCAAAATATGAGAGCCCATGATCTGAGAAGGGAAGAAAAGAAGGGGTGCCCTGAAAAGGCCTGATCGTGGTCTCAAGCTGCCTCCCCATCTGGCCACTGCAGGCCTCAGCTCCTGGTGCTGTTAAAGCTGGATGAAGACCTTCATGTGAAGTACCCACGACTCCTCACCTTTGCCTCTCAGCTTAAGGCTGGCAAGGGCCTGACGATTGTTGGCTCCGTCATCCAGGGCAGCTTCTTGGAGAGCTATGGCGAGGCCCAGGCTGCTGAGCAGGTGCCTGCAGAGGGTGGGGAAGAATGGAGCCAGATCAATGGTATCTGGGCTGTACTGGCTTGTAGAGGAGGGGACCAAGCCTGGCCAGCCAGGTAGACAACACTGCTGCCCCTTCAATCTGGAACAAGAGAATATAGTTGTCCCGTCTTGAAAACATTGCCTCTGGGTGGGTAACTTGTTCCAAGCCCTCCCCCACTTCCAAGAAGTTATTTGCCTGAGAGCCCTAGAAGGTTGCCCAGAAGAGGGAAGCTGGTGGCCTGACTTCCTGACACTACTGTGTTCCCCACAGACAATCAAGAACATGATGGAGATTGAGAAAGTGAAAGGCTTCTGTCAGGTAGTGGTGGCCAGCAAGGTGCGTGAGGGGCTGGCCCACCTCATCCAGTCTTGTGGCCTGGGTGGCATGAGGCATAACACCGTGGTGCTGGGCTGGCCCTATGGTTGGCGACAGAGTGAGGACCCACGTGCCTGGAAGACCTTTATTGGTGTGTGAAGGGCCAGGGGCCAGGGTCATGGGGTGGCAGAGGATTGAGGGACACAGGCTGATGGTCAGTAGTGCTCCTTTTCCCTAGACACAGTGCGCTGCACCACAGCTGCCCACTTGGCCCTGCTTGTGCCCAAGAACATTGCCTTCTACCCCAGCAACCACGAGCGCTACCTGGAGGGCCACATCGATGTGTGGTGGATTGTACATGACGGTGGCATGCTCATGCTTTTGCCCTTCCTGCTGCGCCAACATAAGGTAGGCCAGGTGAATGGTCTTGGGTGAGAGTGGCTATGCTCTTGGAGGACTACATGAGACTGAACCACCCCCCTGTTCCGTTGCCATAGGTTTGGAGAAAGTGCAGGATGCGCATCTTCACGGTTGCCCAGATGGATGACAACAGCATCCAGATGAAGAAGGATCTGGCCATCTTCCTATACCACCTCCGCCTTGAGGCAGAGGTGGAGGTGGTAGAGATGGTGAGCTACCTACCCCACCCTTGCCTTGAAGATACCGAGTGCCATGCAACCACATCTTCACAGCCTCCTCTCTTCCCAGCATAATAGCGACATATCTGCATATACCTATGAGCGCACACTGATGATGGAGCAGCGGTCCCAGATGCTGCGGCAAATGAGGCTGACCAAGACTGAGAGGGAACGTGAAGTCAGTGGCTGCCTTGGTTCAGGCTGGGGGTGGGTGGCAGGGTCAGGCCTTTGGAGACACCATCCTATGGGGACATCAGACTGACTCATCCTGGCCCTACCTAAGCCAGTGCCCATTTCCTGGAGGCAGAGTAATCATGTCAGGCCAGTCAGGCCCTCCTTTTCTCAGGGTGCCCAGGCCATCTCCTCTGTTCTCAGGCCCAACTAGTCAAGGACCGGCACTCAGCCCTGCGGCTGGAGAGCCTATACTCAGATGAGGAAGATGAGTCTGCTGCAGGGGCCGATAAGATCCAGATGACATGGACCCGGGACAAGTACATGACTGAACCCTGGGACCCCAGCCATGCCCCTGACAACTTCCGGGAGCTGGTTCACATTAAGCCGTGAGTGTAGCAAATATAGACCCAGCTTTGTTGGGCCCCGGGGAAGAGGCAGTGTGGGACAGACAGACTGGGTTGGGTGGGCAGGGACAGAGGCTTCCTTTGCTAGATTCTGATTCTTTATGTCAGGGACCAGTCCAACGTGCGGCGTATGCACACTGCTGTGAAGCTCAATGAAGTTATTGTCACACGATCCCATGATGCCCGCCTAGTCCTACTGAACATGCCTGGCCCACCCAAGAACAGTGAAGGTGATGAGAACTGTATCCCTTTGTGGAGAGGCAGGCCATGGGGAGGTGGACAAAGTGTGAGGTCAGGCCAGGAGTTTTCTTTCTGGGGTTCCCTTGGGTGGGGGTGGCCCTGATTGCCCCTTGGTCCTGCTGCTGCCTCCTTGACCTGATGCCTGTAGACATGGAGTTCCTTGAAGTACTGACTGAGGGCCTTGAACGGGTGCTGTTGGTGCGTGGTGGTGGTCGTGAAGTCATTACCATCTATTCCTGAGCCCAGTGTGGTCTTATGGCCTAGAGTGGGGGTATCCAAGGCAATAGCCCCCACCTGAGCACCTACTTGCCAGTTCTGCTTTGCCCAGCCTTGCCTTGGGCCAGCTTTGCTAGGTCTCCTGGGAAACCAGGTCTGGGCCTGGCAACGGAGATGGATTTGAGTTCCTGTGGGACCCTGGGAGGTGTGGGGACTTTCCTCTCCAATACCCCAGTAGGATGCCCTGGCTAAAGACGACCCGGTGGGGGCTGATGTGGGTTTTAAGGCCCAGCCCAGCCCAAGAGCACTATTTATTGTATATTTATTGTTTGGATGTCACCATTTGGGAGAAGGGGAAGGGCAGAAAGGGCGGGGGTTGAACTCATCCTGCTTGCAGGAAGACCTGGCTCAGACTACTGTGGGCAGGGACCCCCATTAAGCCAAGAGGAATGGAGCTGGCCGAGCTAAGGCCTGACTTTCTTCAATAAAACATTGTGTACTCTGGGCCTCCCGCTGCCCCTGCTCTGTTTCCCTTGGTGCCAGTGGAAGAAGGCGGAAATGAACCCAAGCCCAGATCTGGCTCCCTGAGGCTAGGGCTCTTCCCAGCAATAGCAATCACTGGCCACCCCCATTGGCCAGGCTGTCCCTCCCACAAGCCCTGGGCCCCTCCTACCCACATACCAGATAAGGCCTGCCCAGCACTGCCTCATCTGGCAGTAGGCACTGGGCTGGAATGGGGCTGCCCGGCTCCCCATGGCAGTGGGTACTGCTGCTGCTGGGGCTGCTGCTCCCCCCTGCCACCCCCTTCTGGCTCCTCAATGTGCTCTTCCCCCCGCACACCACGCCCAAGGCTGAGCTCAGTAACCACACTCGGCCCGTCATCCTCGGTAAGCCCCCGTCAGGCCCTTGATGCACTAGGCCAGCATGGGAAGCCTGGGCCCCAAACCCTGGCAGCAGACAGTGCCAAGGCTCTTCTGCCCCTGCATTAGCCCTGATACCTTCCTCGGCATGGGGAGGGGCCAAAGGCTTGTCCTGCAGAGAATTTCTTCCCCTTCCCCACCACAGTGTTCCCTGTCTCTGAGTTATTTACTTGGAGGTGGGGCGGAGCTGTGGGGGGACTAAAATCTTGGCCGGAACATTACAAGGCGTGGTCAGCTACAGCCACACTAGAGCCTGGGTCAGGCCCCACCACTCCTTCCTTAGCCCCTATCCTACCAAGGACAAGATGCCCAGCCCAGGGTAGGAGAAAAGGAGAAGTCCCTGAAGGCCTGCCCACTACTCTAGGCCCAGCCCCCAGTCCCCGCCCCTCCCCACTGAATTCTCACCTTGGACTTTGGCAATAATGGAAAGCCAGGCTGGATGTTTACTTGGCAGGGGCAGGGGTCAGTGGCCTTGGCTCCTGCATCTTCCCTGCCTGGGGGGAGTCTGTGCTTTGGGCTGCTGGGGGTACAGTGGGGATGTGTGTGATCAGCTGATGATAAGTGTCATTGGTCCCTGGAGGTAGAGGATGTGGGAGATACGGGTGGGGTTGGTCTGGGGATGGATGGGGGGAAGTCAAGGAGTCCAGAGTGAGAGCTGGTGCCTGCAGTGCCTGGCTGCCTGGGGAATCAGCTTGAAGCCAAGCTGGACAAACCGGATGTGGTGAATTGGATGTGCTACCGCAAGACGGAGGACTTCTTTACCATCTGGCTGGATCTCAATATGTTTCTACCCCTTGGAGTGGACTGCTGGATTGATAACACCAGGTATGTGCCATGCCCTCTGCCTAGCTTATAAACACTGCCCCTTGGCTACAGACTGCTGAATGTCCCCACTTCCCTCAGGGTTGTCTACAACCGCAGCTCTGGACGTGTATCCAATGCCCCTGGTGTACAGATCCGTGTCCCTGGCTTTGGCAAGACCTACTCTGTTGAGTACCTGGACAGCAACAAGCTAGCAGGTGTGTGTACTGGAAGAAAGGCCAGGAGCTCCAGACTGTGGTGGGCCAGTATGGCTGGGTCACAGGTGTCACAACAGAGCCCCCCCCAATGCTGCTGCTTCCCCACAGGTTATATGCATACACTGGTACAGAATCTGGTCAACAACGGGTACGTGCGGGATGAGACAGTGCGGGCTGCCCCCTATGACTGGCGGCTGGAGCCCAGTGAGTGTCTGCTATTGATGGGCTTAGGGCTGGGCAGGTGTGGCCCCTGATCCCAACTGCCCTGACCCATCCACCCACCTTCAGGCCAGCAAGAGGAGTACTACCAGAAGCTAGCTGGGCTGGTAGAAGAGATGCACGCCGCTTACGGGAAGCCCATCTTCCTCATTGGGCACAGCCTTGGCTGCCTGCACTTGCTTTATTTCTTGCTACGTCAACCTCAGTCCTGGAAAGACCGCTTCATTGATGGTTTCATCTCTCTTGGGGCTCCCTGGGGTGGCTCTATCAAGCCCATGCTGGTCTTGGCCTCAGGTAAGAAGGCTTCTGTATCCTGTAGGAGGTAGGGTGGAACAGAGCTGACCTTCCTCCAGCTCTGCTCATGTTGGCACCTAGAAGTATTGTCTGTTGCCCGTGGGCCATGCTTTTTTTAGTCCCTTGAAAACAGTGACCCTGGCAGGACCATTATTAGGATGATTCCTTCCAGAGTCTGTGCCAGTGTTGACAAGGTGGAAGTAAACAGGAAGGTGAACTCCAGCAATTTGATTCAACCCAAGGTGTCTATCTTGTCATGACCCTAGGGCCTGCCCAACTTTCTACTACCTTCTGCTTCCTGGAGCCTCTGTGCCCAAGGATCTACCTTATTGAAGACAGATCTACCACAGCTAGGGCCAGACCTAGGAGCCCTTTCCTGCTCTTCCCTGAGGAGTAGCTCAAGGACTCAGAGCTAATATAACTCCTACTTGTTGAGAACTGTGTGCTGGGCATTGACAAGTGTGGCCTTCTCCCTAGGCACTCAGTCTACTGAAGGAGACACTCATCTGATTACATCACTAAAGGGCAAAACAGGCACCATCTCATTTCATCTTTCCCAGAACACAATCTGGTGATTGCTGTGCAGCATGAACCCTACTTGGGGCCTGAGGGAGACCAGCCAACACCCCATACACCCCAACCTCAGAAAGTTCCCCCACCCTTTTGAGGCCCTCAACTGTCTTAGAGGGTACCATCAGGCCTACTCTATGGCTAGAAGTCCAGGTCTGGATGGGGCCTGCCCAGGAGCAAGCTTGAACAAACTGCTGGGCTTAGACTGGGGGCAAATTGTGGGCCAGAGGTAGCCAGGCCTAGCTTCCTTTTGCACCTTGCTCCTTGTCCACAGGTGACAACCAGGGTATCCCACTCATGTCCAGCATCAAGCTGAGAGAGGAGCAGCGCATAACAACGACTTCCCCCTGGATGTTTCCCTCCCGCCATGTGTGGCCTGAGGATCATGTATTTATTTCCACGCCAAGCTTCAACTACACAGGCCGTGACTTCCAACGCTTCTTTGCAGACCTGCGCTTTGAGGAAGGCTGGTACATGTGGCTACAGTCACGTGACCTGCTAGCAGGACTCCCAGCACCTGGTGTGGAAGTATACTGTCTGTATGGTGTGGGCCTGCCCACGCCCCGCACCTACATCTATGACCATGGCTTCCCCTACACGGACCCTGTGAATGTGCTCTATGAAGATGGTGATGACACAGTTGCCACACGAAGCACTGAGCTCTGTGGCCATTGGCAGGGCCGCCAACCGCAGCCTGTACACCTGCTGCCCCTGCACGGGACACAGCACCTCAACATGGTCTTTAGCAACCAGACACTAGAGCACATCAATGCCATCCTGCTGGGTGCCTACCGCCATGGCAACCCTGCACCCCTGACTGCCAGCCCAGAGCCCCTGCCCCCTGAATAAAAACTTTTGCTGCTGTAGCCCTGTATGCTGTGGCTTGAAGGGGAGGCACTACGAGGGTCCCCACAAGAGGATTCATGCATCACTAGCCACAGACCAGTGCTCAGTGGAGCATGAGGCAAGATGGGCTCTGTTAAGATCTGAAGCTGAACTGGACACTGAGATGTGCAGCTTACTATTCTGGTTGAGCTATTCAGGCAGCCTGCCCTTACCTGCCTTTGTGTTGTGCGTGGGAACTGCAGTCAGTTGTACTTGCAGCTATAGAATGGATGTACAGGGAGAGGATGACTTCATCTATCCCTCCCAGCTCCAAAAGGGTATATGAGTGTGGGGTAGATGGAAAATGTACAAGAGTTCAGAAACTGGGGGCTGAGGAGTGCAGCTTAGTAGTAATATAAGGCCCTGGATTCAATCCCAAGCACCAAAAAAATGTGCTTAAGTGACAGCTATTAATCAGATCATTTCACTGAACACATTTTTGTGTGTGATGTTGTGGGGAAAACCCAGGGTGTTACACATTAGGCAAGGGCTCTACCGAACACTTTCAGCCCAATTTTTAGTATAACCAAAGCCTGGGAGAGTTGGCAGCAGCAAGAGACTGAGCCCTGTGAGTCAGGAAAGCATCCCAGAGGATGGTGCCTACAGGTCAGAGAGCTGAGAAGGGTAATATGAACCACTTTAAAAGCACTGTGCAGTTGCTGAAGGATTTTAACAGAGAAACAATTCCAAGCTAGAAAAGACCCCTGTTGTACAGGCTAGAGTATAGCCTGAGGGAGGAGAGAGAGGTTTGTGGGGTAATTAGAGAGGATGCTAGCTAGCTGAGTCTAGTGATTAAAGATATGTATAATAAAAAGTGGGGGGTGAAATAACAAGGCTTGGCCATGGGTGGAGCCCAGTATGACTCCACGCAACTAAATGGATAGCCACAGTGACCTACCACTTTTTTTTTTTTTGAGCTGCAGTCCATGCTAGGCAAGCTCTCTACCACAGAGCTACAACCACAACCCACATTGACCCTCTTGAGAGAGATGGGAGGACCATCTCTCTCATCACTGTATCATCGCATCACTGTAGCTGAGGATTAAGACTTCATGTGTGAGGCTTCCAGGAGGCAAAGACAGCAAAAGAGGCAGAAACTGGGAGAAGAAAGTTGACAAAAGACAAAAGTTAGGGGAGTCTGATCTATTAACTGAGACCTGGCCCTGGCTTTGACAACTTTAGGGCACTGGCACCTGAAGCTAGTGTAGAGTTAGAGTAAGATTGCTGGGGATATCAGATTGGAAGAGGGTGGAGGAGTTGAACAATGACCAAAGGGGAAGGGCTGCCCTCTTTTGGAATAGAGGATCCAAGGAGCAGCACCAAAGGACTGGAAAGGGACGCCCTATCCTTCCCAAGCTACCTAGGACCATAAGTGAAGGTGAAAGTGAAAGAAAATATGCAGAAAGAGGCCAGCGGCTTCTTTAGGAGGGTAGAGGCAAAAGCGAAAGCGGGAAGTGTCAGCTTCAGCCGTGGAGCTCCACAGCAGCAGAGGCTGAGGCCTTTCTACTCTCCTTGGCCCCACTCATCTAACCGATCCATCAACTCCTGATCCCAATTCTCCCTGCCTGCTCCTAGATGCTGAAGTCCGCGCAGGAGCCCCGAGGGGGCTTCTCCTTCGAGAACTGCCAGAGGTGAATAGGGAGGCTTAGTCCCAAGAGGCCTGTGCTTCCTTGGGAGCCTTTTTTCCGGGAGGAGGTGGGGGTTGGGGAGCGTGAGTTGGGAGATTAGGTCCTGGTTTACCCAGGGAGATGCGCAAGACCAGCACGGGCAGGAAGATGGGATGGGACATTGGGACTGGAACCCAAACCCATGCCACTCCCCTCTATTTCCAGAAACGCATCCTTGGAACGTGTCCTTCCCGGGCTTCGGGTCCCTCATGCACGCAAGACCGGCACCACCATCGCAGGCCTTGTATTCCGAGTGAGCACGGGAGTGTGACTAAGGGGTGGGTTGAGGGACAACCCGGATAGAGAACAGGTGGGCACTGAGGCACGATGTTCTTCCCCGCAGGACGGGGTCATCCTGGGCGCGGATACGAGGGCCACTAACGATTCAGTCGTGGCAGACAAGAATTGCGAGAAGATCCACTTCATTGCCCCCAAAATCTAGTGAGACTCCCTCAGCCCAGTTCCCACATGCAAGAAAACAGCTCTTCGCTCTTCCACACTGACCCTCCCCTTCCTTTGCCCTCAGCTGCTGTGGGGCTGGAGTAGCCGCAGACGCCGAAATGACTACACGGATGGCTGCATCCAACATGGAGCTACACGCAATGTCCACTGGACGCGAGCCTCGCGTGGCCACGGTCACTCGCCTTCTACGCCAGACGCTATTCCGGTGCGGGGGCGGGACGAGGAGGTTGCGGGAAGAACTGGCTGACCGAAGGAGGGAAGGGAGAAAGGGTGGGGCTGAGAAGTGCAGGGAGGCCGGAAGAAACTGGCCCTCCAGAATCTGGGCCACAAGGGGCGCTGTCGGCCGCGGAATGCCAGGCCACACAGGTCTCAGGGGCGGGGTCAGATTCAATGGCGGTGTCTATAGGGGCGGGCCCTGGAGCCCGTTTGCTTGCGGATAATCAGACCTATTGGCGAACAGGTACCGGGGACACGTGGGCGCATCGCTGATCGTGGGCGGAGTAGACTTGACCGGACCACAACTCTATGGCGTGCACCCCCACGGTTCCTACAGCCGACTGCCCTTTACGGCTCTGGGTGAGTGTTTCTGCCCCTTCCTCACGAATCTCCCACCTCTGCGAGCTTGGCCTCACATTTGTCCCTGGATGGGGTGACCACAGCAGATTTCACTCAGATGCCCCTTCCACCTCCAGGCTCCGGGCAGGACGCGGCCCTGGCGGTGCTGGAGGACCGGTTCCAGCCAAACATGACGGTGAGCGATCTCTGTACTCCCCTACGTGGTCCCTAGTGGGAAGTACACCCAGGGACCGACACAGAGGGAACCTGGCCCAGTATAGAAGTCGGGGAAGGATTTCTCAGAGGAGGCAAGGACTGAGGAGAGACCGAGTGAAGGTGGAGAAGTGTGGTCCTGACAGTACCAAAGTTTGGACTGCTGGGAGAATCATTAGGAGCCAAGGGAAGAGGAAAACCTGGTAGGGTCCTGTTTGAGGTCTGAAGTCTGGACTTGAGTGGGATAGAAGTGGGTAACTGTCACTTCAGAGGCGGCTAAGGCCCAGAGGGAAACACTGTGAGTCATAGGACTGGGGGTGAACATTGGGTGGGTGGACAGCCTGGAAAAGGGCTAAAAGTGCAGGCAATTCAGAAGTTTGTGCAGAGGAGGACCGTGGGTGGAAGGTTCATGGGTCTTGGAGAGAGGGAGGCAGAGGCCAAAGAATAGGAGTTGGGGGTAAAGAAAGAGATGGGAGGTTGGGTGTGCACAAATGATCTGGTCTGGACTTCAAATCTAACAAAGTCCCTGGGCTGGAGCCTGAAGTAACACCAGAGGGTCCACTGAGCCTCACAAACATATCACCATAGCTGGAGGCTGCACAGGGGCTGCTGGTGGAAGCTATTACCGCAGGGATCCTGGGTGACTTGGGCTCTGGGGGCAGCGTGGATGCATGTGTGATCACCGCATCAGGTGCCCAGCTGCTGCGGACACTGAGCTCGCCCACAGAGCCTATAAAGAGGTAGGAGCAGGGAAGGTGGGGCCACAGGGGAGGATTGGGCAGTAGCAGGGTATGGAAAAAGGGGGCTGCAAGAAGAGGACAAGCCACATGCTCAGAGGCTTTACCTCCTCCCTCCCAGGCATGATGGCTACCGCTTTGCACCTGGAACCACAGCCATTCTGACCCAGACAGTGAAGCCATTGAACTTGGAGCTCCTAGAAGAAACTGTGCAGGCCATGGAGGTGGAGTGAAGTTGTCTGGGGTTTACAGCTAAGAACAAGGGGGAATAAACCCAGAAAATAAAAACATCTATACAGACTAAACAGATGGCTGTGTCTTCTTGGGTGGAGCAGGACAGGAAGCCAGCAGGGATCTGGCTAAGATATCCCTTTAGGAGCCACTACCTCCCACAGCTCCAGTGCCTGGCCTTATCACCCATCACCTCAGGCATCTATTTTTCCAGAACCCCAGCCCTGGCCAACATTGCAGCCTTCCATCCTTTCTTCCTTCTAATTTTCCTTCTTAGTCCGCACCACAGAAGCTCCCCCACCACTCCTGCCTTGATTTTGCCCTCTCTTCTACTGGGGATTGAACCTAGGAATGCTGTACCACTGAGCTTCATCCCCAGCCCTTTCTGATTTTGAGACAGGGTCTCACTAAGCTGGCCTCAAACTTGTGATCTTCTTCCATCAGCCTCCTGAGTCACTGGGATTATAGATGTACACCACTGTGCCTGGTGCCCCTGGGGAACGTTGTAAAACCCATAAGACCTCATCACAACACTACCCAGAGCCTTTCCCTGGCTCATCAGTGAAACAGGACAAAGCCCACATGTCTTAGTCAGATCCACCCTAGGCCCAATGAGGGCTATAAGTGCTGATATAAGATCAACTCCCTCCAGAGGCAAACTCTCATCAAGTGTACCTTAGCCTTGCACTTGAGACACCCCTTAAATGACCAGGCACACCTGAGCCACTAACACAAAGCTGGGCTTCATCCGCACATGCTGGGCTGTATATAGGGAGATCAACTTCAAGTGTTCTAGGCTGACAGGGATCATAGGACTCATGTGGCAAGAGATGATACATTCATCCAGGAAACCTTTTGTTAAGTACCTATTGAATGTCAGGCCCACTTGCTGGGTGCTGGTAGGAACATCCTGCCCTCAAAGTAGCCTGGCTCCACTGGGGTTTCAGAACTGTTAAAGAGTCTGCTCACCTCTAGGGAGGTTCTACTCCAAGCCAGACACCCATGGGCCTCTGATTATGCTCCCCTCCCCCAACTTTATTATGAAATGGGTCATGAAAATTGAAGAAGTTTCAGTTTTCACTGAATACCCATATACCTACCTCAGATTTAATAATTCATATTTTGTTGTATTTTCTGTCTGTATCTTCTTATCCATTCATCCCTCTATCCACCCATTTCCTTATTTTTGGTCTGAGGTCAAAATGAGTCAGTCAAAACCCTCATATCCCTAGAAGGAAACCAGCCAACTTAACCTGTTGCAACTCCACACAGGGGAGTCTTGTCTCCATGAGTTCACACTTAGCCTGGAACTCAGTTACAAATGGGATGTAGACTCCAGGGTTTTCCCATGACAGCCCCAGTACCTGGAAGTGTCAGAGATTTGTTTGCTATCACCCTTCTAGCTACAACCTCAGTCCAGGGTTTGCTAGTTACCAAGGATTCAGCTTATATTTAATAAGAATATGGAGTTCAGAGTTATACACATGAGGGTTTGTGTCCCACTCCATCTCATGCTGGTGGGAGAGTCACCATCTGACTCCTGTTCCAAATGGATGAGGAATCCCTTAGAGGATGTCTTTTAGGATTAGCAACCCCCAGAACCTCCTTCCTTAGTCTTCCCCAGGAAAGCTGGCCACAGCTGACCATTCCCTCCTCCACTCAGAACACTCCTGGATTCTGAGCAGCCTTCTCTGAAAGCCTAGTCTCCTGATAGCTATGGGAGGCTTCCCTGGTCCTGGCCACCAGGTTGACACTACAGATCTGGTTTCACCATATGTCCTTGTACCCGTGCCCAATGCTTGTGGTGCTTCAGGCAGCCAATCAGAGGCCAGGCTTTGGGAGGTGGAGGTGAGAACCTCACACCTGGGGGTCTCTCTGATAAGTCCAGGCCTGGGTCAGGGGACCTTGGCCTAAATAGAGCATGGGAGTGAGCTGAGCCTGCACAGCTGGCCTGGTCTCAGGCCTAGGACTTTGGCCCAAGGACAAAGATACCCATAAATAAAGCCGGGTCCAGTTCTCAACCTCACACCTACCATGATGCGACTGCTCAGGCTGACCCTAGGCTTGATCCTCTTTGGCTTCTCCTGGGGTAAGTGGGCCAGGAGCAGCCTTGACTGGTTGCCCAGTTTGGGGCAACCCAGATTCCCAGCACCAGTCCAGGAACCAGGCTAGATAGAAGGGAAGTAGATGAACAGGTATGCAAAGGAAAAAGAATGGACCAGGGCAAAGGAGCAGGAAGGGGCCTGCAGGGTCAGAAGTGGGAAAGAATGGGATGGAGCTGGTCTCACAAATGGGACAGGAGCTTGGAGGGCTTAGGAAGCTGAGCTGTGAAAGTTGGGTGTGTAGTTTAGAAAGAGTCCACAAGTTGCATGAGGGGTATGAACTGTTTAGGCCTGGATGGGTAGAGGGCCTGGAAGGAGACTACACCAGAGGTCAGGGAGAAAAAGAGCCTGGGCTGGAGGACAGGGGTGAGTTGGAGAACAGGAGGGACTAAGTTGAAGAGATGTGGGAGAATAGAGATTGATTGGATGGAGGGTAAACCACAATAGCTTTGGAGGCCCAGAAAATGCTGATGGGGGAAGAAGGGCTAGTGACAATTCCTTTTGATTTGGATCTCTCTGGGGCACACATCCTGGGGACATCCAGGGGAAGCAGGTGGGGAGAGGTGGGCTGGGGTGTTGATTCTCACCAACCGGATGGTCAGGCTGTGGAGTTCCTGCCATTAAACCATCACTGAGCTTCAGCCAGAGGATTGTCAACGGGGAGAATGCTGTGCCAGGCTCCTGGCCCTGGCAGGTTTCCCTGCAGGTATACATACCCTGAGGGTGGGGTAGGGTCCTGAGTGCTTCATGCCTACATATAATCTGAGTTCACCTCCAACTCTGACCCCTGACTCCAGGATGGCAGTGGCTTCCACTTCTGTGGTGGCTCTCTCATCAACCAGTACTGGGTGGTCACTGCTGCCCACTGCAATGTCAGGTGAGTACTTGTACTCCACCTGCTCTGCCCACTTGGCTGCCCCTCTCTTGCTCTGCCCTCCCAGCGTATGCCCAACCAATCTCTTACTGCAGTCCTGGGCGCCACTTTGCTGTCCTGGGTGAGTACGACCGATCGTCTAACACCGAGCCTGTGCAGGTACTATCCATCTCAAAGGTAAGTGCCTGGCTGCATGCATGGGAAGGAAGAATGGGTCACAGGTGGGTTCCTCTGGGAAAGAATTCAGGCATGTCCTGGCCTATCCATCTCAGCACCATTGATGGGTACCTGTGCCCATCCCAGCCCTACATGGCCCCTTCCTGCTCCACAGGCTATTACACACCCAAGCTGGAACCCCACCACTCTGAACAATGACCTGACGCTCTTGAAGCTCGCCTCACCAGCACGATACACAACCTACATCTCACCAGTCTGCCTGGCTTCCTCAAATGAGGCACTGCCTCAAGGCCTCACATGTGTCACCACTGGCTGGGGACGCCTCAGTGGCGTGGGTAGGAACCTGGGCCCTGAACAGGAGGAGAGGGAGGTATCTTGGACCAACCTGACCATCCCTTCCTGGCCCACAGGCAATGTGACACCAGCACGTCTGCAGCAGGTGGTTCTACCTCTAGTCACCGTGAATCAATGCCGGCAGTACTGGGGCTCACGTATCACTGACTCCATGATCTGTGCAGGTGCCTCAGGTGCCTCTTCATGCCAGGTGAGCACAAGCACTCTGTCCTTTGCATTGTTCCACAGCATACCTCCCCAACCTGTCATACTGACTTCTCTTCTCTCTCAGGGTGACTCTGGAGGCCCTCTTGTTTGCCAGAAGGGGAACACATGGGTGCTTATTGGTGTTGTCTCCTGGGGCACCAATAATTGTGATGTGCAAGCACCTGCCATGTACACTCGAGTTAGCAAGTTCAACACTTGGATCAATCAGGTCATAGCCTACAACTGAGCCTACCACAGGCTCCCTCCCCATTTCAATCCAATAAAAGACTCTAGTCTCTGTCCTCTTGTCTGTCCTCCTGGCACAGGGAAAAGGAGAAGCTTTTTAGTTCTATCCCCACCTTTCTGACACAGAAAGGTCTAGAGTAAAGATCTTTCTACAGTATCCAGCCCAGGCTGGGGCCCTCATCCCTCCTCCTCTGGGGCAACCCCTTGGTTCCACAGTACACAGGGATTTTAGAATGAATGGGCAGCCTTCCTTGGGGAGGGCAGCCTGTTTATTGAATACAGAGGATACATTTACAAACTGAGTACACAAAATAAATAACTGCACATTCTCCATCCACGGTCCATGGCATAAAGGCCTATCAAAGGTTCAAAACTCCAAACTCCATCTATCCTACCCTCAGGCCTACCCTGGGCAAGAGGGGGAAAAAATCCTCAGGGATTCAGGCCCCCAGAAACACTTATGGAACTGGGAAAATTTGTGAAGCCCTTGGGCTTGAGCTTTCCACTGCCTTCTGCCCAGAGGGCAGTCAGAACAGAAGACAGGGGTGTGTAAGGCACAGTTGACTTGGCACAGAGTGGTCTCTTTGGTTTTCCTCTGGAAACAGCACGTGCAGAGAGAGGAGGGCCTGGCCCAAGGCTGCCCAAAGGGAGGAGCTGAGTAGGGGTCAAATGTTCCCTGCTGGCAGGGGCTCTAACTAAGGCCAAAGCTGGCCCCTGGCCCTTTCTGCCCACTGAAAGCAGCTGTGGAGGAAGACGGTTTGGGTTCCAGCCTGGTTTGTGTTGGTGTAGACATCATGACAGCCATGGGGACAGTTCTGGCTCAGGCCTCTAAAAAAGAAGCCCCGCCAACCCCACCCACTTCCCACAAGGGTTCCCTCCAGCCTGAGACTCAGCAGGCCCCAGACTGGAAGGTTAATGCTGTAAAAGGAAGCTGACAAAGGGTGGGTGGGGCAAGGCCAGCTCTCACAGCAAGATCAGTCATAACCCTAGGCACCCAGGGTTCAGAAGCAGGTCACACAGTATGGCTAAGTTCCAGGGAGAAGCTGAGCAGAAGGGGAGTTGAGTAGCCCACGACCCTCTCTCAATGTAGCAGTTCCTTCCTTTCCACTTTCTTTTAGAGGACTTTGGTTATCTATGCAAGATGGGTGTGCATTCATCACCCAGAGGCTGCCCATACCCAGACTAGACACCAGATGGCGCCTTCATGAAGCTGCAGAGGAGGGTACAGTGACACCTGAAGGGAAGAAGCAATGGATAATACCAAAGGATGAAATTAGAGATGGCCATGGGAACCTAAGGGAGAACCATCTGCCTTGGCCCAGGTGCCCCCATCCCCTGGGTAGCAGCAGTGGGGCTCCCTTTAAACCCCAACAGTTGGGAAGGAGGCACCTGGGGAATGAAATAGACATCTAAGGGGGAGAGAGAGGCAATAGTGAGTGCTGCAAAAAAGGCACTGAGTATATTGGGGAGGACCCCACTCAAGCTGGCCATCAGCAATGGCTAAGGTCCATTCCATGGCCCTACCACAAGAGGTCCTGGAAGACTTGGGTTAGAAGGGGTCCCTGGTGGCACCATGAAGGAAGATCTTGGCTGGGAGGTAGAGGCTGCTTGGGTCCAATCAAGGAGATTTACAGTCTAGCTAAGGCCAAAGCCAGGCCTCCCACTGGAGCATAATCTTTTTATCTTTTTTTTTTTGGTACTGGGGTTTGAACCCAGGGCACTCAACCACTGAGCCACATCCCCAACCTTTTTTTATATTTTGAGACAGGTTCTCACTGAGTCGTTTAGGGCCTTGTTAAGTTGCTAAGGCTGGCTCTGAACTCATGTTCCTTCTGCTTCAACCTCCCGAGTCACTGGAGCATAATCTGAAGGTCAGAATGGCATGGAATGTGGAGAGCTAGGAAGGAAGGTTCTGTGGCAAAACGGGGGGTGCCCAAAGTAACTACTCCAAAGGGTCCTGGACCATAGGACACCCTTCACTCTCAGGACTGCAGGACCCTTCAGTTGGGAAAGATCCAAAGAATGAGGAAGACAGTGAAGGCCAGGTCCTGTCCCTTTCCCCAAGTCACAAAGCAGCTACCCACCAAAAAGGGTATCAGTGCCAGGCCAGGCTCCCATTTCAGGGGAGTCATGACCCTCCTGGGCTACCTCGACTCCATCACACCAGGCCCAGGCCCATGATAAGTTCAGGGGCTGCTAAAGGCACAGAGAAAGGGCCAGGGCCAGACATTCTCTATATACCACTAACCATGTGGCCTGTCTTCACAGAGGATGTCAGGCCCAGAGGGCACAGCTGAGCCCAGCCAGTCTGGGACCGTGTCATATCTGTGCCACAGCTGGTGGCTCAGCCATTGTATTGTTGCTGATAGCGGAGGTTGAGCTCTCGAAGCTCCCGCTCCCGCACACGGCGTGACTTGTTGGAACGTGTGGAGCGGCTGGAACGGGTGGACTGGGCCGACTTGGTGCTCTGGCAGCGTGAGGAGGCACGCTTGAGGAGGTTCTGGGAGATGGAGCGGTGCAGATTCTTCATGGATGAAGAGGCTGCCATGCTCACCACCCATGGGTGCCTCAGGGCCTGTAGTGCAGTCATACGGGCTCCAGGGTCCACTGTCAGCAGGCGGTCAATGAAGTCCTTGGCCAGATTGGATACACTGGGCCAGGGCTAGAAGCCAAGGATAAGCATTAGAATTAGAGTACCCAACACTGCCCTCCCATCTGGATGATGCTGCCACCACAACACTGGGACCTGCCCAGAGGCCTTGCACTTCCTAGGGAGAGGCAATGCTTCATCCTCCCAAGTAGTATTCTGGGCCTCTCCTACCCACCCAACACTGACCTAGGCTTCTGAGTGGAGCTAACCTCTGGATCATGCATGAGGAGTCTTGACAGAGGAAAAGGACCCATTCTTTTTCCCAGAGAACATCTCTAAGTGCTATGAACCCAAAGCCTGGCTCAGGGAGGTGACCCCTGACAAGACCCTCAACCTACCCCAGGACCACCATAATCAGGGAAAATTTCAGACAGAACAACCTAAACATTTCTACCACATCTTTAGACAAGACTTAAACTCCAACCTGGATGGTCAAAACAGATCATTTATAGGGGAGCTTCCTGGTACCTTTAAGTACCTGAGTCCTACCTCCTTTCAACTGCCAAAGCATTCCTTTAGCCTTGGGGTAAAAAAGGAAAATCAAAACATCTAGATTTCTCAGTCAGCTGACAGGAGCTCTTAAAGCCAGACACCCAGGGGTACTCTCTAGTTTGCGTGACTTCTCTGAGGTATGAAGGGCTCCTATGCACCAGCCTCCTAATGTTATGTTCTGTCCAAAGGGAGGAACTCCACAAAGACTGCTTTGCTACACACACCACACACTGGGCACCTGTTCATCTCAGGGCTATACACCAAGCACCTGTCCACCTCAGGGCCACCTGCCTGGCTTGTCTTCAATTGGCTGAGTCTTAGATTCTCAGTATGATATCCTTAGGTTCTCAGATACTCTGTGAGCCCTCAGTGCTTATGGCTGTAGTTCTAGCTATAACTTGAAGACTGTGAATTAAAGTTTATTATTCCCATTAGATGGTGCTGAGCCCTAGTGCTTGGCACAGTGCATACAGGAGGCACACAGTAGGTACAGGCTTAGTGAGCTAACCACCCTTACATACTGACTGATGTGTGCCCTCGGCTGAAGCTGCTTCCAAGCCATGGGGTTCAGGTGGTAGAGCCCATATGTCCTGGGTCCCTTCTGGAGGGTAGGCTGAGTCCTTGCTCTCCTAGGAGCACACCTGGCATGGGCTCTGATGCTCCTCAAGGGATGGGTGGCTAAGCCCTTAGGACCTTTCCTGATCCTACTGCAGAGTCTCTGCTGGGATGCCAGAGGCACCATAACTTTCCTTCCTGTCACTGAAGTCTGCCTGTTCCACCCCATGGCACCCTTCATCTTGGAGAAGCCCTGAACATGCTCTCCAGGGAACTCAGGGAAATCTGTGGAAGCCCACTTTTGGGCTCATTTGTGTTTGAGGGCCAGCCCAGCCCTTTCTGACAGGTCCCAGTGCTCCTCATTTTTGAACATAACCATTTAGCAGACAGTCATACCCATTGACTACTGACACCCCTAGTCTGGCCCCCTGGACCTCTTGTACTATTATTATCCCTTTCCCACTGCTGGACAGGGGCAAGGAAAAGACACCATTTATCTGGAATTCTGTGGAAGGGCTGAGCTGCTTGCAGCTGTTGTCCTCACCTGCCTTTTGGAAGGCAAATATCTAATTTTCTTGAGCTGAACTGGAAGTGACAGGGAAATCACAATGCCAAACAGTCACCTAACAGGGCTGTCCTCACCATCAGGACAGCTTTCTAGTGATTCTGGTAGAAAAGTCATGGCCTCAAGGACATATAGCCATAGAAGGACCAGAGAGATACCTTGCTGTCTGACTGCAACAGATGGTTGCCACAAAAGCTTTTGGCTTACAGCTCAAGAAAGTCCCACTGATTGTTACTACTACCTGAACACAAGGAGCCACTGCTATGGGCCAACTAATCCAGACCACAGACACTCACTGCAGCCCCTGTCACTCACTTAAGAGATGGAAAGCAGTGGGCTTAATGCCCCATATTGCCCTACCAGCCTTTTATGGTGTCCAAGAAAATAACTTGCTGGGGAACACATAGCAGCCTAGCCTGGCCTGTAAAGGGAACATCCACAGGATAGGGCTGGCAGCTTAGACTAGTCCAAACAGGGCTAAGACACAGCCTCTGCCCCTGTCCTGTGGTCCAACCTGGATGGAAAGGCAACTCTACAGAACAGTGGTAAAGCTGGACTCACAAGCCAAGAATCTGAACATGGATGGACCAGAGGCTTCCCTATTTCCCATCTGTAGACCACCAAACCATGGAATCCTGTGGCTTTGAACCAGTCCAGTGCAGTTTTAGAAGGGTCTCTCACTAGACCTGCCCCATGGGCTTAAGCATCTCCATCTCCAAAGTGGCACAGGCTCACCCCAGGCATCTACCCCTGCTGCTAGTCAGGCAGCCAGCCTGTTAGTGCCAAAGCGAGCCAAATTGATCCACCTATCCTGTTCCCCCAGACTCTCGCCTCATCAATTACTGTGTACGTGCAGCTGTACACAGAATGCTGATGGACTCATTTGTGTTTGAGGGCCAGCCCAGCCCTTTCTGACAGGTCCCAGTGCTCCTCATTTTTGAAGAGCTGGGAGTGGCTGTACTGGGGGAAGGGGGAAGATCCTCCAAGCCAATGATTCAAGTCATCCTGACCAATGACCACCAGACTACCCCTCATTCACTCAAGAACATGCAGAGCGTAATCAAGCAGGCTGAACACAGGGAGGTAGTCCCCATCCTGCCTGCTGACACTGACGTAACTGGGGGCTTAGGTTGACCTCCAGAATAATGCCCCTGGAAGCCTTGTTGAGACCTCAAACAAGGCTCAGAAAGGAAAAATAAGGGGCTGGGGATGTGGTTCAAGTGGTAGCGCGCTCGCCTGGCGTGCGTGCGGCCCGGGTTCGACACTCAGCACCACATATCCGCCGAAAACTAAAAAATAAATATTAAAAAAAAATTTAAAAAAAAAAAAAAAAGAAAGGAAAAATAAGGCCTTCCACACTCACCCACAGCCACGCTCTGCCTCAAGTCCAATCCAATACCTTCTAAGAAAGAATTCAATACCCTTAGCCCAACTACCTGCTCCCCCAACATGCTCAGGCCTCTGGAGCCTAGGTGTCTTTCAGCCTATGATTGACTGATTAGGAAGCATTCTGGGCATGAGAAGATGGAAAATAATAAACAGTTATGTTCTCTAGTTTCCACAACTCTGCTTCCTCTGGGTGAAAGACAGAACTTTGAGCTTAATATATATACTTGGGGCCAGACCAGGACATAATAAATGTAGGTGTCAGGTGCCTGATAGATGGGACAAGCCACAAGTATCACTTGGTCAGCCTCCCAGAGGCTTCTACCTATTTCTGGACTCACATGGAACATTGGGCCTGGTAGGAAATGATAAGAGGGGGGCTGGGGATGTGGCTCAAGCAGTAGCGTGCTCGCCTGGCATGCGTGCGGCCCGGGTTCGATCCTCAGCACCACATACAAACAAAGATGTTGTGTCC